AGAAACTCCCAAAAATGCCAGTCGCCGAGAAGCTTAGGGGCACCCAACGGGAATATAGTTCAGTCAAAACCACTTAAACATAGCATTGTTGAACGTATTTTAGTATTTAAACGGTAGATGTAGGCATATTTTTATCCCCTAAAAATTTTTCATCCGTTTGGATTTCCTAGCTGAAAGTCTAGTGATCCGAAAATTATAGGGATCAAAACTTACCTTTTCGAAAATTTCAATCAGAAAAAAGGCTCCCGAAAATTCTAGGTGACCTTTTTAGGGTAAAAATCCGTTAAAAATGGGCAATTATACCATTTTTGGGGGGTTCGAAAATCCTAGGAGAGACAGGCAAGCAAGAAATTTAATAAGAAATGTTCCGAAAATTCTAGATCTCAAATCGTCTTCCGAACAGATATTTTCCAAAAATTGTCCTTGGATGCCCCTGAGAAGCTGCCAGAACCAGAACGGATAAAAACTGAATGTTGGCGAGAAAAGCCATTTTTATCGAAAGAACATAGGTTTGAATGTTTGTTGTCTACAAGAATACTGGTTTCTTGTTCATTTTTTTAAAGATATGTCCCAGAATCTACGAGATATTTGTTGCTGAAGGGAAACATCAAGGAAACTGAGAGTATATTGCGAAACATCGCTGCTACTAACAAAAAGGAGTACCCGGAAGAGCCTCTTTATAACCCGAGTGCTGAAGGGAAAGTTCAACAGTTGGGTGATGTTAGGGATTTGTTTCGAACTAAAAAGATGTGTCACAGGACACTTATATCCTGGTATGCCTGGTAAGTGCCACAGGAATACTAACGTGATGAATGCTGTCGCTGACAAGGACAATTGCTAGCTGTAATGTATTCTCCTCTCTGTATTCTAGGTTTGTAAACGCAATGGTCTATTACGGTGTATCATTCAGTACTCCAACACTTGGCGGTAATATATATTTGAATTTCTTCCTGGCCTCCATCGTGGAAATCCCCGCCAATTATGTTGGCATCTGGTCCATAGGCAGGTGAGTCTTGAGCGTGAAAATGCATCGCGCAGAATGAGTGGACATCATCAGCTATTCATGACCGCCGAAGCGAAGGCACGAGAGCTTTCAGTAAGCTCTGAGTAAGAGAAGAAAGAGCCTCTTGTGGCCCACAAGCGTTGATAAAACTCATTCACACGACTTCGTTAGCTCCAAAATTACAAAACCACGAACGGAATATTGAAAATGAATGATATACCAATGATTTAAGCAAAAGAAATAAGCGTTTTACGAAGTAGAAGAACTATCCCTCTGCACTTGAAAATTGCTCTTTGCAAGGCGGTAATATCGCTACAAGGGAAAGACTGTGCAGACTTTAACCAATTAAAGCGATTCAGTTCACACTTCACCTGTAATATTACAGACCTATGATTCTAGCTCGACTGTAAGAAAATGTCCCGAGAACAATAGCCATTCTGCGCGATGGGCTATTTTCACACTACACCGGGTTCCTTTTACGCCAGCACGAAAACTATACCGGATAGGGGCTCTGTTCGCACATAAGAACGGTGATTTCGACGCGATTTCTGTAACGAAGCAAAGTGGCACCACGCCGATCTCGAAAAAGGGGCTTCACATATTGGATAGGTTCTGTGTCACTTTTTGGCGCATTGTGAACAGGTATTCGGACCGCAGCGGAAGTGAATAAGTGGGAGCGAGGATTGGAATCCACTCAGACGGTTTAGTTAACCAAACCCTCTCGGCCAACCGCTAGGGCATAATGATTCGATTCGTGTGAACGACTTTTTTCAGTTCTGTGCCGTTGCCGTTTACATGAAAAGCGATTCGGTATCGTGTGAACAACGCCAAAGTAGCTAAACTTCAGAATATCCAGCCTTAGCTCCATTTTTTTTTATCTCGTTGATTAACTAAAGGAACTATTGTGTTATACGTCGTTCTTTAAAGCGTTCCGACAAGTGGCAGGGCATTCTGAAGTTTACGCCATAGTGTCGATATTTAACAATTATTCCTCGAGCCCGAATGGGCTCTGAATCAATAGCCCATGGGGCCGAAGGCCGAATGGGCTATTGACTCAGAGGCCACGAGGGTGAGTAAAGTCCAACTAGTTGGTCAAAAATATCGAGATAAAACAACCAGCTAGTTAAAGCTAGACTTGAAGCCATTGTTTTGGTTTTCAAAGCCGTCGCTTTTCGCTACAAGTGGGCTATAACATATAGCCTAGTAGTAGCTCAACCAATCAGAAGACAGCATTGATAATAGACCAATGGTTGGTTTTTACTAATAAGGAGGATGCATGACGATATTGAACTTTTGGATACAGGATCGACATCCTAGACTGTGGGTACCTTGCTAAAAAGAGACAGCAGAATTTTTTTTCTTAAACGCCTGAAGTATTGTACCAAAAAATAACCGTGACTGGCAGACATACGTCAGCTTCCTTCTGGCAGTTTTCCATTAGTACGTCAGCACGAGAATGTTTTTTGTTGTTGTTGTTGTTTTTCCTTCTTATTTCCGTTTTTCCCGCCTTAGGTTTGGTCGCAAAAAGCCGCTTGTTTACAACATGATACTTGCTTCCTTCGCTTCTGTAGGGGCCGTACTCTGTACAATGTACGACCCAGGTGCTGACAAAGGTAGAAATGTTTTCTAACTTCTCTTAATAATTCTGAATGAATTTATAATTCTAACGAAGGACTAGACTGCGAACGGAGTGCACGCGCGCGCGAGTGGCGATGGACGAAGCCGCGAGACGCGAGAAGACGGGGTGCGCCTTCAGTCACGCGCGTTTTACTCGACGGACTAAGATAAAAGAGAGACTGCTGTTAGTCTAACGAAGGACTGAAATATTTAACCATTTTTTAAGGTAGTTCATTTGCTATCTTCAGGTTTCATGGCGGGTCGTATCATCATGGCCATTTCAGCCAAGTTTTTTGTGTTCATCTCATTTGATGCTGTCTATGTGTACGCTGCAGAACTCTTCCCTACCGTGATCAGGTATCGATAGTTATTTCACCTTTGCGACGGTTTTCATCCTACCGTGAGAGCAGCGGCTACATTTTCGCGGTGTTAGCTGGCATACGAAAAGTACGCCAGTTCACACAGCGAAAATATAGTCTCTGTTCTCGGGCATTATGATGCTAAACGAGCAGCAGTTGTTTCGTTATCGTTGTTCTCATGGTAATTTCAATATCCCCAACTCTCAACTACTCATGAGGCATTATAATATGTATCGGAAATGATCGATTTAGCGCGATACTCGAATAAGCGCCGCACATTTACCGAAAACACGTTAATAAGCGCCGCGGCGCTAATTTGGGTATTTACAAATAAACGCCCCACCTTTATTACCGCGCTTGATACAAGAAATATCAAAACCATATCGCTTTAGAAATAAGAGTACGACCAACTTTATCTCCATATTCCCCTCAGTGTTTCACGCGTAGCTGAAATAAGCACCTCTCTCGAATAAGCGCCGCACCTTTAACAGGGAAAATGAAATAAGCGTATACATGTAAGTAAAGTTGATCATTCCCATTATATCTGTAGGAACATAGGTATGGGGTCATCAACGTCACTCGCTAGGATTGGCTCATTTTCCTCACCCTATATCATTCATCTGGTGAGTAGTGGAACAAAACATGCAAAAGAAAACATCTTTAAACCCAAAGAAAACATGATTTGTTTTTTCTATGAGATAGCTATTGTCTCAAATAGTGTTTAAGCTGGGTATCAAAAGACTTTTGTGGTTTAAATACCGTTTTAAAACAACGGATGAATAAATGAAAACATGGTGAAATATAAGGGAAAATGGTGTAATAGATAGTGAGCCTTAGATTGTTAAATTAAAGCAAGTACTTGAAGGACTTTGGATAACTTAGTAACCGTTACCCCTGGCTTTTTTCAATTACCTCCTCTCCCAAAACAGCTTTTTTCAAAGTATCATTTTTAGTTATCAGTGCGCCATGATAAGGAGCTTAAAATAGTGCCTGTCCAACGATCGAGCGTTGCGCAGACTCGAGGAGCACACAAAAAACGGGTAAATATTGGCTGTCCTGAATAAAATTTTTTTCGAAATTGTCCTTCTTCCCACAGCGCCTCGTGCATCCACTCCTGCCGTATGCAATTATGGGAGGTAATGCGTTACTGGCGGGTCTGCTGTGCATGACACTACCCGAGACAAAGGGAATGCCAACCGCTGAAACCATGGACTCGGAAGAGGATGCAAAAGAATCTATAGAATTGCAGGTATGGGAACATCTACAAGATCAAGACTTAATTTCCTTCGTTTTTGGATATGGTAATGTATGATAATCAGTTCGGAACAAAGGAAGGAAAATTTGCACCGGGGAAAAAATTGAATAATAAAATGTATAACCCTTTTTTCTAACGCGAAGTCAGTATTGGTGAAGTGCACTATATAGTGTTTTCACATGACGTCAAGGCGGCCGTATTGGTGTCCAAACAAATCCTGTGGGAGATGAACTCTTTAAAAGTTTAAAACATTGGTTTTCATGTCACTAAAGCCCAGTTAGCAAACTGCAGTTCCTTATACGGTTTGATATCAATATGAATCTCAGCAGGTCTTTTTTAGAGGTGTTACTTCGAAACTTAAGTCCTACATTCTATCTTTATCATATCACCACATGTACAACGAACCAACGACATCTCTTCCCGTTGCAGGGAACTTTTAGCAAAAAAGATGCCGAGGAAATGAAAGAAATGCTCATGGATGATGCAGAGAAGTAGTCTGCATGATTCTCAAAGTGTGGTTATCAAGAAGACTATGGGTCTAATTAAAAGTCTCCTCTACGATCGAGTATAAACTTTAAACCATGTGCGATAAGGCCAAGTAAAAAAAATGCTTCTCGTCCGGATTTCTATAAAAAAAAGAGCGGGTTTTTTTTTGTTGTTGTTGTTATTTGCGACTTTTCAAATAAAGCCAAAATAAGTTGTGGTGTTGTCCAAGGATCTATCCTTGGCCCATCCCTTTTTATCGCTTATTTATGGCATACGTCAATGTTTAATTTAATTTGGTCGAATATAAATAAATGAAACGTCAGATATTGTTTCAACACACATTTTGGTTATTTCAAAATATGTTTTAAACAACGTGATGGATCATACAATATGTCTCAATAGGTAGGTGGCGTTAAAAAGGTCAATATAGAACTTCGTTTTATGAAGAGTAAGACCTGCAACGTAAGATTGTAGAATAATTGTGTTTAAAGTAAAACTTATTGCATGGTTTTTGTTCGTTCCAACTTTTCCAAGAACAAATAATAAAAAAGGAAGGCGGCCCCAAAAAATGAAGAGGGGGGAAGGGGGATGAGAAACTTATTTTTTACTTGGCCAAACATTCAGTAGTCTTCTGGGGAACAGAAAAAGAAAATAGTTTCAGTATCATTTAAGTGTCTTCATATCCTCAATAGTTTTGAGGAAGTAAAGTTATTTCATTGAAAGCAATCATTTGATTTTATACAAAAGAGAATGAGCTCATTCTCTCTTGTTTTATATCAATTTTTTTGTTACTTTTCATACAAAATGAAGTTACACTACTTTTGTTATAAAAATGTAAGAAACGCTTAGTATATTACGAACATATATTATAGAAACAGCTTAAATGACGAATGACGTCTTTTAACAAATTACTAAAAACTACGCCGTGTCTACATTTAATTTACACTATGTCACAGCCTCCTCGCTAGAAAAGCGAAACGAAAACTGCATCACTCTGTCATATACTGAAGTTAAATTGGTTGTAAAAGNAGACAAAGGGAATGCCAACCGCTGAAACCATGGACTCGGAAGAGGATGCAAAAGAATCTATAGAATTGCAGGTATGGGAACATCTACAAGATCAAGACTTAATTTCCTTCGTTTTTGGATATGGTAATGTATGATAATCAGTTCGGAACAAAGGAAGGAAAATTTGCACCGGGGAAAAAATTGAATAATAAAATGTATAACCCTTTTTTCTAACGCGAAGTCAGTATTGGTGAAGTGCACTATATAGTGTTTTCACATGACGTCAAGGCGGCCGTATTGGTGTCCAAACAAATCCTGTGGGAGATGAACTCTTTAAAAGTTTAAAACATTGGTTTTCATGTCACTAAAGCCCAGTTAGCAAACTGCAGTTCCTTATACGGTTTGATATCAATATGAATCTCAGCAGGTCTTTTTTAGAGGTGTTACTTCGAAACTTAAGTCCTACATTCTATCTTTATCATATCACCACATGTACAACGAACCAACGACATCTCTTCCCGTTGCAGGGAACTTTTAGCAAAAAAGATGCCGAGGAAATGAAAGAAATGCTCATGGATGATGCAGAGAAGTAGTCTGCATGATTCTCAAAGTGTGGTTATCAAGAAGACTATGGGTCTAATTAAAAGTCTCCTCTACGATCGAGTATAAACTTTAAACCATGTGCGATAAGGCCAAGTAAAAAAAATGCTTCTCGTCCGGATTTCTATAAAAAAAAGAGCGGGTTTTTTTTTGTTGTTGTTGTTATTTGCGACTTTTCAAATAAAGCCAAAATAAGTTGTGGTGTTGTCCAAGGATCTATCCTTGGCCCATCCCTTTTTATCGCTTATTTATGGCATACGTCAATGTTTAATTTAATTTGGTCGAATATAAATAAATGAAACGTCAGATATTGTTTCAACACACATTTTGGTTATTTCAAAATATGTTTTAAACAACGTGATGGATCATACAATATGTCTCAATAGGTAGGTGGCGTTAAAAAGGTCAATATAGAACTTCGTTTTATGAAGAGTAAGACCTGCAACGTAAGATTGTAGAATAATTGTGTTTAAAGTAAAACTTATTGCATGGTTTTTGTTCGTTCCAACTTTTCCAAGAACAAATAATAAAAAAGGAAGGCGGCCCCAAAAAATGAAGAGGGGGGAAGGGGGATGAGAAACTTATTTTTTACTTGGCCAAACATTCAGTAGTCTTCTGGGGAACAGAAAAAGAAAATAGTTTCAGTATCATTTAAGTGTCTTCATATCCTCAATAGTTTTGAGGAAGTAAAGTTATTTCATTGAAAGCAATCATTTGATTTTATACAAAAGAGAATGAGCTCATTCTCTCTTGTTTTATATCAATTTTTTTGTTACTTTTCATACAAAATGAAGTTACACTACTTTTGTTATAAAAATGTAAGAAACGCTTAGTATATTACGAACATATATTATAGAAACAGCTTAAATGACGAATGACGTCTTTTAACAAATTACTAAAAACTACGCCGTGTCTACATTTAATTTACACTATGTCACAGCCTCCTCGCTAGAAAAGCGAAACGAAAACTGCATCACTCTGTCATATACTGAAGTTAAATTAGTTGTAAAAGTAAGTGTTATAGAATTGTATACTTTGAGCATGTAGTTATAGAATTCTGCTTTAACAAATCTCTAAAGGGAGGACTCATATCCATTCCTATATTTTCTTCTGTAGTATTTTATATCGAAGTGTTGTCAGTAAAGTAGAAGTATATTTTTTAGGAGCCCATCACTCAGGAATGTCCATCTCTGATAAAAGATCAAGGTCCGCACAGCGTGTTATATTACTTACGCTTGTAAATATCCAACTGGGTACGTCCTGCCAGTTGGGGATTTTTATGTGGTCATGTTCCTGCTATTCGACTTAAATGCTTAGTTTCAAATTGTCTGAGTGGAGTGCTTGAGAATTAGCTATAACTCCTAAGTGCACATTCGATAAAAGCAAAGTATTCTGTTTTCTTCACCACCCCTCCCTCCCCCCTCAGCTCCTTCCCCTTGACCTTGACAAGTACTGCATCTTTCAGGATAACCCAACGTTAACCTTCCTTTCTCCGATATCCCACCCCTTCCTCCCTTGGGCTGCTATTAAACTTTATATGGCTGACAATAAAGAGGAGAAGTCGTTACGTCACGTTGCAATGGTCGCAAAATTTCTGGATGACAACAAAACGAAAACGTCATTTAAAAGTGAGTTCGCACTGTTTCACACTACATAGATCTTGTTCACTTTCGTTTAATTTCTCAAATGCCGGCGAAATGTTTGTGGTGTGTTTACCCACTCCATAAAGCGGAAAGTTTCAAGTCGCAGTCGAGCAAAGACGGCTAAGAAATGTACAACGAAGCGTGATGCACGTGCAAAGTTGTTGTTTTGCTAATCCAAATCCATTGCTTTATCGCCGTTCTCGTTGCCGTCGCCGTCGCGCGGTCTTCGTTACTTTCAGTGAGCTCCCTGTTGTTGTGATCCAGAAATTTTGTTGCCATAGTAATGTGACATCACACTTCTTTCTATTTCTCGGTGTTTTCTTCTTCATCGTCGTTATCCAGCTTCAGTAGAGCAGTGGGTGACTCACTTGATAGTGTCTCTGCTGTTGGTTCCTTGTTAGTCTCGGGAAGGAGTAAGCAGAGTACTCCTGCAATAAAGGCGTCGATGGCCATGATAATGTAGGGCAATTGAGCCATATAGGTAGCCTGGTAAAGCAAAACACAGTTTGAAGCCAGTCCATCTCTGCCTGCCCAGTGTGGCAAACAATTAATACCAGTACAGTGGAGTCTCTGTTCAGGGGACACCCTCGAGACCAAGGCAAATGTCCCTTAACCCTCGGGACCAAGGCAAGTGTCCCTTGAATAGAGATGTCCCCTGAATACAGTCAACTTTCTCCTTGGGGACACCCCGCTATAACGGACACCCTGATGATACGGAAAGCAGCTAAATCCCGGACAAAAATAAGTACAGACATTTGACTGAAATAAACTACCGCTATTACGGACTCTCGCTAATGAGGACACTAACTTGAGGTCGCTGCAGTTTCCGCTATAAAGGGAATTGACTGTAGTGAATAGAGGTTGGGCTGGGGTTGTTAATAAAAAAACAACAAAGACAGTATACAAAATAATCATTAACTCATCTCTGCGACATTATATGTTGAATTCAAATCAGTGGATTACATCATTTTAAGTGAGATAGTTCAGTTTTTGAAAGCTCCCATAATTGTGATTGGTGTACACTTAAAGTTATCAACCCTTTTTGTGGTCCGTCATGTTTTGGGTGCTAAGGTGTCCCCTGAATTGAGTCAAACCCAGTTTTCGGGACCAAGAAAACGTGTCCCTTTCCCCTGAATAGATATGTCCCTTCAATAGAGGTAACAGATTCAAAGACTATGTGGACGTATTCAGGGACCAAATCTTGTGTCCCCTGAATGGAGGTGCTCCTTGAATAGACGTGTCCCAAGGAAAAGGAAAGGGGACACACCACTCGTACTCTGTGCCGACAAATATTTGCTCCCTACGTTTGAGCGTTTTTGATGAATCAAACTGGGTAAAAGTTCCCTCGCAATTTTTATTCTTGCATATTCTTATGCTGTTTTTAATGAAAGGCACATACTACTAGTTCAAGATCGAGAGAAGAAAGCAAAGCTTTATTTACAGTTTCGACCCATTTTTCCCACGAGAGGCCGATGTAACTTCTTGTTCGAAGCGATCTATCTCGTGAGTGGAGCACGGTGACCAGAAAGATTAATAATCGACGCTTAAAA